AAAAATGTGTTTTGCATAAGTTCCAGCAACACCATGTAGAGCGTCATAGCAAAATGTGAACTTTGGTGATGCAAGAAGCTTCCGGATGGACTCAAAATAAAAAATTGACTTCATCAATTCCACATAATCACTGGCTGAGTCGAATACCTCCACATCATAACTTCCTTCAGGTCCAGTAAATTTGGTCACCCCGATGGTAGAAATATCTACATCTGGAAGGTTCTTTGCAATGAGGTACTCCTTTATTGTCTTCGTGTTGGCATAAATTTTATCAGTAATAGCCTCTGGAGCAGGTCCACCATTTTCCATATTGTATTTGATTCCAAAATCCTCATGTGGTCCACCTGGATTGTGACTAGCATTCAAAATAAAAGCACTTGTAGCCTTGGATCCATCTGCACCAACTCTCTCACGAATGACACAAGACACAGCGGGCGTGGATAGCAGACCATTTAGACCAACCCATATACGTCTGACTCCATTTGCAGCTGCCATTTTTATGATGATCTGAATAGCATCTTTTGATAAGTATCGGCCATCCCCAGAAACAATAAGCGTCGCACCTTTTACTTTCTCGGAAGTAAGTGCATCGAATGTTGATTGAACAAAATTATGAAGGTAATTATGTTGCTGAAACACTACAACCTCAGCTGGAACTGTATCAAGTTTTTGCACAACCTCCTCTAGCCTCTTCAAATTTGGTTCGAATCATTTAGCGACATTTCATCGAACAGCTTGGGCACGTTGCGTTGGATCAGCCTTGTCACTAGAATTTATACCAGGCATTTTCACACCTGCAATGAGAACGTCCTCCGTACAAACAATATAGTTGGCATTTAATTCAATCGCCCCATTTCCATGATCCACCAATTGCCGTTCAATTCGTTTGGCAGCTTCAACCGCTAATTCCTCAAGGGCGTTATTCTCACCATAGCCATAACTACCTTCATTTGTCCCGCACAACAATGGCAACTGAACAGAGCGGGCGACGACGTGTGGACAGAGCTGATCGGGAGTGGTTACGGTGTCATCTGAGTCGGAACAGGCGGCGATGCTAGACTTAAGGCATGTGAGAGGCGGGCCGACGGGCGCAGGTGGAGCACATTGGAGATGGCTCGACGAGTCCTGCGTCGGATCGAAAGGGATCTCTTCCTTGGATTGTCGATGCGCACTACTCTGCGTAGGATCGACGGAGTCGAAATCAGCGATGAAAGAAATTTGTTGGAATGGCTTCAGATCCAGTCGATGTGCACTACTCTGCGTCGGATCGACGGAGTCGAAATCAGCGACGGAAGAGATTTGTTGGAACGGCTTCAGATCCAGTCGATGTGCACTACTCTGCGTCGGATCGACGGAGTCGAAATCAGTGATATGTGCCATTATTAGACTGAAGTTCTTGATAAATTTTCGATAAAAATTCGCTAAACCGTGAAAACTTCGGACATCGGAGAAAGTCCGCGGAACCGGCCAGTCGGTGATGGCCAATATTTCCTGTTGGTCCATAATACCGTCGGCAGAGACGATAAACCCAAGGAAATATACCCATGACACGCCTAGTTCGCACTTGGGTAGGTTGATGAATAACCTTTGCTGCTTGAGTACATCAAAGAGGGCTGTTAAATGATTCAAGTGGTTCTGCCATGAGGTGCTGTAGACGAGTATGTCGTCAAAATACACAATACAGAATTTTCCCAAAAACGGCTTCAATATTTCATTCATCATCCGCATGAAGGTCGACGGAGCATTACATAGCCCGAAGGGCATGACTTTCCACTCATGCGGCATCTTGAATGCCGTTTTCCATTCGTCTCCGGGACGAATACGAATTTGATGGTAGCCGCTTTGGCGGTCCAATTTTGAAAAAATGGAAGATCCCAAGAGCTGTTCTATTAATTCGTCAATTCGGGGTATGGGAATTTGTATTTAATAGTGATTTTATTGATGGCTCTGCTGTCTACACACATTCGCCAATTCCCGTCCTTCTTCGGCACGAGTAGTGCCGGCACGGCACAAGGACTCATACTCGGTTGTATTAACTGATTTTCAATAAAGTCATCAACCAAGCCTTGAAGTATCTGCCGCTCCTTAGGATTCAAACGGTAATGCGGCATGTTTGGGAGGTTGGACCCGGGGACGAAGTCCACGCAGTGTTGAATATCCCGCAACGGTGGCAGTTCGACTGGAAGCTCATCAGGTGTCAGCTCTTTATAATGCTGTAAGAGCTGGTAAATATCCTTGTTGACAATTGCCGGTGTGGTTCCGGAAGTAATTTATGTTACTAGAAGAGCAAACAGAGGAGCTGGTTCACGCCAACACTGAAGGAGTTTGCTGCCCGTAACCTAATGCATAGCTGCCTGCTTAGCATGAACAGGCCTTGAACTTTTGTTTTCAATAGAATGGGGTAACAACCGTAGTCGTCTTCCCTTACAATCCAGGGAATGGATGTTGGCTCGACAATCATAGATGGCGCCCGCATCATATTGCCATGGCCTGCCTAATATCAGATGGCAGACGTCCATGTCCAAGACGTCGTAAACGACCTCACAAACGTATTGTTTGCCTATAGAGAACGTCACTTTGCAAAAATTAGTGACCGCGATCTCCATGCCTTTTTTACCCAAGTTATTTTGTACGGATTTGAATTTTTAGTAGTTTTCAGTTGTAAGCTTTGTACCACGGACCTCGAGATCACGTTTTCGGTGCAGCCACTGTCAATGAGAAGGTCGCAAAACCTGCCGCTAATGGTGCAACGCGTCCGAAAAAGGGCATGCCGTTGGGAATGAGTGTTCTGCCTTGGATCCAGTAAAAGCTACTCGAGGATGCATATTAACGGCTCCCCTTCATCGGCCACTACATCATCTGCTTCATCATCCCCGTTTAATTCCACATCACCGTGATCATCTCCCTCCGATCCTTCAGCTAAGTGTGATTTTTGCCGCTGCGGACATTCGTTGGACTTGTGTCCAGGCTGAAAACAACGAAAACACTTGAGCGTCGAAGGCTTAGCATGAGGATTTTCCTTACCTTGAGGTCTCGGTTTGACGGGCTGCCTGAGCTCAGTAGTAGCATTCGCAGGAGCTGATGTTGGAGTCAGTAGGAGAGGAGGTTGCGTCATCCTCACAGAGTGTGACGGTAGCTTACTCGTACCAGTTGCAGGTTCTTGCCATTAACGTCTGTGTGAATTTGTTTTTGACTGTCTGCTCTACTGCATTTCTACCTTGAAAACTAAATTGACAGCTTGTGCCATAGACCATATGGCATTCAATTCCAATTTATCTTCGATGCTGTCCTTGAGACCGCCTATGTATCTTGCTACCAACTGGTTAGTGGACTCATTTAAGTTGTTTCGGGCGCTCAACCTATTGAATTCATCCGTGTATTCGCTTACAGATCGGTTTCCCTGTGCACAGTGTTGATACCTCATATACAATATCTGCTCAAAATCTGTAGGCAGAAATTGGGCTCGGAGTAACTGTTTCATTCGGTGCCAACCGCGAACCCGACCCTTGCCTTCCCTTTGTCGGATCTGTAACGTCTGCGCCCACCAGGCACTAGCACCGCCTCGCAGCCGGCAGACCACATTCTTCACCTGTTTGTCAGGTTCTATCTCCATATAATCAAAGAAATTCTCTACTGCTTTTTCTCAATCTAGGTAGTCCTCAATATGTAGATGTCTGTCAAAGAAGGGGACATCAATTTTGATCTTAAACTCTCCCGGCGTTGGTGATTAATTGTTGGTCGTCTGCGTCTTACGAACTATGGACAATAGGGGTGTGCTTCATCTTCTTCTTCGGACTCCACGGGTTCTGCTCGCGGATAGAACACCGACTCACCGTCAGAGTCCGACATATCCGGATGAAATGCCGGTAGGGGCCTAAATGGGCGGTCGGCGGCCAATCCTCTATGCGGCATTGTGCGGTGTGCGGGTAGCTCGTGCTGCGGTGGTGGCTGATGTGGTTGTCTCGACTGATTGAGATTAAACCCGCGGCGCATTTCCACTGTCAGTCGCTGTTCGGCGCATTTCCACTGTCGTCCAAAGCATCTAATTGGCGACTGATGTTGTTTTGGTTTGCCCACAATGTATCTATGTTCCGGACCTCCTCAGAGGCGGGATCCTTGCCGCGCTCGGACATTCTCCTTTTCCAGTCGCTGAGCTCTGATACCAAAATCTGATGCAGCATAGATCGTCGACTGGAACGGATGTGACGAAGGCCGGCGACAGGGTACCTGCAACGAATGTTAGCAGAAAAACAAGAGAGAAAACATAGTAGAGAAGACAGGGAGGAAGACAGCCAAGCTGCTGTAGTATATTTTCTGGTTGTAAAAATTCTGTCTACAATCCTCTTCCTTCTCGCCTATGTAACTCCTTGAGCTGTGCTAAAAAAGAGTATGACAAACTAAAAGGTAATATCAGTACTATAATGCAGAAAATAGGAACTAAGGTAGTGGCTAGTGCCAAAGTCTGTTATAAATGATAAGTTGTCCGGTAGGACCTCCGGTGTAATCATGCTCCGCATCACCAATGCCTTAACTTAAAGAGATACATACGTAAAGTTTTACTTAAGAAAATCTTTTTCACCCTTGAGACATATCTATGCATGTTTCAATTTGAGAATGTTAGTATGCATGCATTTATTTGTTCTGCTTGCTGTAGCTTGTTAATGATTTGAATGTTCCTTTCAAGTTTGGTGTAATATGTTAGGCAAAATTAATGTTCTCATCTAGGAATCTTATTTAGTATTTCATGATTGTGACCAAATAGTTTAATTATTTCCTTTAATTATTTGATTGCTGAGTGCCTTGTCCATATATCCACATTTCTTCTCTCCTATCTTCTTCCTTGTATGTTTGACTTTGGTGTTGACTACCTGAACCCAAATTCCTTTGCCTATTTTGCTCCTTTTTATGGTGTAGTACAATTTATTTTTGGTGAATATTGTACTTATTGCATCCATAATAGAGTTTCGTGTTACATGCTATTAAGCTACTACATTTTTCAGGTATTCTGGGAAAGGCCTATTTTTGAAACCTCCAACAGTTCTAATTTCCATGGAGATATGGAATCTTTCTATACCAGATTGTTTTGAGTCTGATAATTTTGGGAAGGATGATTTACGTAAGTTGATCAGACTTGCGCTGCTGTAGATTATAACGATTGCTTAACAATATCATAAAATATGTTGCAATTTTACAGAATTTAGCTCTTATGGTGAATTGTTAAGTAGGGATAGGGACTCTTCAGATGTTGCTAGATGCTACTTCTCTTACATATCAAATCAGTTATTGGAATTTTCTGCATCGAATCCAAACAAATATATTGGAGCGCTAATTATAGAACCAGGTAATTGACCTTCTACTTTTGCAAGTTCGTTTCATTCTCATCAACGTATGAAATCAGAAGTCAGCCTGAATTACTCAAAAAAAATCTGAACTTTCTTATGCATTAGAATATTGTTTGGCATTTTCTGTAGTCGTTCTTTGTAGGAGAGTAACGTTGTACTCCTAGAAAACGAAGTGGGCTCTGGCATGAAAAATTGTTAGAGATTAACTTTGTTTATGCTTCATAACTTATTTTTTTCACCCACTAGCTTTCCTGAACTTAAATCGAAGTCCATGACGTCAATTCTGAATGCAATATTTCTCTTGTTTGTGCTATATTTTCATTAATAATAACTTGCACACGTTATGAATTAGATAACTAATCTGCCCTTTGAGATCTATATGTGCCGAATGATGGTTATTTTACTTCTAACCGTGAATTTTAGATAATGGTTAAATGTAAAAATTAAATTGCAAAATAGATTTTAAATTTTGGAGCGTGGTATATAGTAGTTATATTCATAGAAAATTAAACTTATTTAATGGTCAATTTATTTGGATGTTTTGAGAAAAAGGTTTTTGAATTCAAGTATCATAGAATCTCAACTGCAAATTTGTTTTTGTACAGTTATACATGGTTCTGGTGGAATGCATATGATTGATCCACTGTTTCAGCGAATGCTTGCTACCGAGTGCAGAAAACGTAGAATTCCCATAATATTTGATGAAGTGTTTTCAGGTTTTTGGCGCCTTGGACGTGAGGTAAAGCCTGATTTGATTTACATGAACCTTTTGCTCTATTGCTTTGGTAAAATTTGTGGCGAATTAAACTTGAAATCTGCAGCTATTATGTTATGTTCCGAAAAATGTTTCCATATTCTAACACTTGCTCGCATCCAAGCCCTCTGACCTGAAAGCATAGAACAAGCATAGGCCTTTACTAACTTATACTAATTTCACTAGGGTCTCTTGGATCCAAAGATGAGATCTCTTTCCATGTTAAGATGATAACCTGATGTATCTAGGAGCTTAAACTATCGTTTGTTGGTCCAAAAATGTATTTATCATTGAACCGTATTATCTCCATTCCTGCTTTGTGCATCAGTTATTCGGCATTTTGGAATTGAATAGACAGAGATCCTCAATAACTTGTAACAAGTTAGCCAATGGGGGTGGCTACGATAGAAATGCATAATCTTAATAAAGTTAATGATGCTAATATGTCATCATTATTTTATGCTTAAACTATCGTTTGTTGGTCCAAAATAATAATAATAATAATAATAGAGCAAACAAATATTTGACAAATACCTACGCCGTCATTCTCAGATTCAGCCATTAATGATTAACTCGAAGATCTAGCGCCATCAATCTTAGATCCATCTAGGAAGAGATCAAACTGAAGACTTCACACTGTAGATCTTAGATCAGGCCAGAAGAATCAATAACAAGTGTTGTCCTGACTTCCCTTCCCAAGGAGGGGACGCTAGGATGCTCTCGAATTTCCCAAAAAAAAAAGATTTGGATAGTAATATAATAAAATTATCAAAGCCCAAAATTTTGATCAATCACTTTGATTAAATAAAAAAAATCTTTTTGAAGAATAGTTGGAAAAATCAATTGGGCAGTTAAAATAATAATAATAGAGGAGCAAACAAGTATCTAACGAATACCTGCATCGTTGATCTCAGATTCAACCATTATTGATTACTCGAAGATCTCGCACCATCGATCTTAGATCTAGCCAGGAAAAGATCAAATTGAAGACTTTACGCCGTAGATCTTAGATCAACCTAGAAGAATCAACAACAAGTGCTCTCCTGACTTCCCTTCCCAAGGAGGGGACGCTAGGAAGCTCTCGAATTAAAAAAAAAAAGAGATTTGGAGAGTAATATAATAAAATTATCAAAGCCAAAATTTTGATCAATCACTTTAATTAAATAAAGAAAAAAATCTTTTTGAAGAATAGTTAGAAAAAC